TTTTTTTTTTTTTTTTAAAGCCTGCCTGCCTGTGTCCCTCAAATAAACAATTAATCGCTGACGTCATCATCATTATTGAATAATGCATTTATGAAGCAAACATGTTAATATGGTAATATTGCATGCATATTTATTTAAATATATATCTGGTTCCTCTCAAGGTTTTACTCCTCTTAAGGAATTGTTTAGTTTGGTTCACTTTTTAAAGCAGTACTATCTGTAAAACTGCTATGAAACAGAATGCACAATACCCAAACCATACAGAATATCGCACATTCTATATTCTGTTTCTTTGTTATGTATGTATGACTGACGTGTTTGAATGGCGCTGTGTTTGTAGGAAGTGTTAGAGTTGGCATTTTCCGTCCTCTACGATCCTGACGAGGCTCTCAACTTTGTGGCACCCAGCAAATACGAGGCGAGTCTCGAAAACAGCACTTAAATCACAGTTCTGTTAGAAATGCAGAAGTTCAAGGACTGTTTGTTATTCACTAAACTCTTTATGCGTTGATAATTAGGGCTGTGAATCAACTAAAAATATTACTAATTTTTCCCATTTTTCCATTAGAAATGTTTGTTTTTTATGTGAGGATCTAACGCCTGTATCACAAGTATCACTAATATGCATCTACACCACAATCTTTGTTCACACCACTAGTGACATGATGCCAGTGTGTTAATTCTTAATTATTTGTACATATTTCCCCATCCCTAACAGTTAACCCTGCTGACAAATCCAGCATTGCTGGTCACCAGCATAAGTATGTTTGGCAGGCTGGGACCGGCTTGGAATGCTGGTGGATCTTTTGGGTGCTGGTATTATCCCAGCAAACCCACAACAAAACTCATGTATGCGTTACATATCATGTTTCTTAGTGTGTGTTCCTAGCTAAATAGAGGCCAATTATCCAATTAATTTTAAGAAATTATTATAAGAAAAACACATGATGCAGGTTACGTTTAATGGCACAGCAAAACCTTCAGTGTTAAACACTGCTCAGTTTTCATATTTACATTTACATTTATTCATTTAGCAGACGGTTTTATCCAAAGCAACTTACAATTGAGAAATACAATAAGCGATTCATCATAAAGAGGCAAATAAACGCAGGAAGTGCTTGCAATACAAAGTTTCAGGCATTGTTCAGAGTAATACAAGCTGGAGAGGTTAAGTAAAGAGAAAGCTTTTTTTTTTTTTTTAAGATGAAGTCAAATGATGACGGAAGAGATGAGATTTCAGGTGTCGCTTGAAAATTGTCAGGGAATCAGCATTCCGGATAGGGGTGGGAAGTTCATTCCACCAGCCAGGAACGGTGAACGAAAACTTTTCTAGAAAGTGATTTTGTGCCTCTCTGTGATGGCACCACAAGGCGTCACTCACTAGAAGATCTCAGACTTCTGGAGGGAAGGTAGATTCGTAATAGTGAGTGGAAGTAGGCGGGTGCTGAGCCTGTGGCTGTTCTATATGCAAGCCTTCTTGAACTTGATGTGAGCTGCAACCGGGAGCCAGTGCAGGGAGATAAAGAGAGGTGTGACATGGGCCCTTTTTGCCCTTTTCGTTGAAGACCAGTCGTGCCGCTGCATTCTGAATCATTTGTAAAGGTTTGATTGTGCATGATGGAAGTCCAGCTAGAAGAGCATTGCAGTAGTCCAGTCGAGAAATGACAAGGGCCTGGACAAGACGTTGTGCAGCATGCTCCGTTAGGAAGGGCCTGATCTTTCTGATGTTGTGCAATACAAACCTGCAAGATCGAGCAGTTTTTGCAATTTGGTCATTGAAAGTCAGCTGGTCATCGAAGATTACACCAAGATTTTTGACCGAACTTGATGGGATAATTGTTGATGAACCTAACTGGATGGTGAAATCATGATGTAGAGTTTGAGTGGCAGGGAAGACAAGAAGCTCAGTCTTTGCGAGGTTGAGCTGTAGGTGATGTTCTTTCATCTATGCTGAGATGTAATAAACAAACACACAAATAAACGTAGAGTCTTTACAGATTTGAAAGATGTATTACTCTTATCTGTATGACTACAAATGACGGAGTATTTTAAGAGCAAGTGAGTGCACCGGCGCCTCCATCTGTCCTGCAGCGAGCACTACTGTTCAGCTCCACGCTCCGCACAGACACTGAATAGCGCACATTTCTCTAGGTTAACATTAGATTGAGCGGCTATGTAAAGTTGCTAATACTTGCATATTTCAGATGATAAGCCATATTTGAGGTCGATGAATGATAGGCGAGCGTTTGGATGTCCTGCCTGATGTACTGTATTACCATAGACCAGCCGTTAATGATCTGTTAGTCATGGACTGCGTGGCTTCGCCTGTCGATTTTTTTTTCTGCGACTGATAAAAGTTTGGTCGACCAAGCCTCTACTGGTCGACTAACGATTAGTCGACTATCAGGGGGCAGCCCTAGCTGTGTGTCATCAGCATAGCAATGGTAGAAGAAACCATGTGCTTGTATGATGGGAGCCAGTGATGTAGTGTATATGGAGAAGAGGAGGGGTCCAAGAACTGATCCCTGAGGAACTCCAGTGACCAGCTGATGTGCTTTGGAAATCTCCCCTCCCCAGGCCACCTTGAAAGACCTACCAGTGAGATAGGATTCAAACCAGGGAAGTGGAATCCCTGTGATGCCCAGTGATGAGAGCATGGCCAGCAGGATCTGATGATTGACGGTGTCAAAAGCAGCAGATAGATCCAACAGAATGAGAACTGATGATTTGGAATCAGCTTTTGCAATCCGCAAGGCTTCAGTGACTTGAGACTAGTGCAGTCTCAATTGAATGTCCACATCTGAAACCTGATTGGTTAGCGTCCAGTAGGTTATTCTGTGAAAGAAATGAGGATACCTAGTTGAAAACAACTCGTTCAAGTGTTTTCGCTATGAATGGAAGGAGAGAGACAGGTCTGTAGCTATCTGTAAGTGAAGTGTTTAATGTAGGTTTTTTTAGTAGTGGGGTTACCCGAGCCTGCTTGAACGAAGTGGGGAAAGTGCCTGTGAGAAGAGATGTGTTGATTATGTGTGTGAGTGCTGGTAAGAGTGTTGGGGAGATTGCTTGGAGAAGGTGTAAGGGGATTGGGTCTAGAGGGCATGTTGTAGGATGGCTGGAGAGGATAAGTTTGGATACTTCTGCCTCAGTGAGGGGACAGAAGGAGAAGAGGGGTGTTTTAGGAGTAGATGTGGTTGGTTTGAGTTCCTGTGTGTGTGGAGCTGAGAACTGGCTGCTGATTGTTCTAGTTTTGTTTGTGAAGAATTTGGCAAAGTCATCGGCTGTTAAGGAGGTGGTGGGGCATGGTGGAGGGGGACAGAGGAGAGAATTGAATGTTTTGAAGAGGTTATGCATGTCAGATGCGCTGTTGATCTTGTTGTGGAAATATGAAGACTTGGCAGTATGGACTTCAGCAGAGAAAGATGAAAGCAAAGACTGATACGTACTCAGGTCTGATGGATCTTTTGATTTGCACCATTTTCTCTCTGCTGCCCTGAATTTGGACCGATGCTTACAAAGAACATAGGATAACCAGGGGTTAGAAGGGGCAGCCCGTGCTGGCCTGGAGGAGAGAGGACATATATTGTCCAGACAAGAAGTTAAAGGGGAGCACAAAGTGTCAGTTGCTGCGTTCACATCCAAAGATGAGAAATGTGTGGGTGAGGGAAGAGAGGAGGACACTACAGAGGAAAGATAGGAGGGTGAAAGGGAACTGAGGTTTTGTCTAAAGGAAACTGGTAGAGGGGTTGGAGGCTCACAGGTAGCAAGATGTAGGTTAAATGTAATGAAGTAGTGGTCAGAGGTGTGTAGGGGTTTTACCAAAATGTTGTCTGCGCCACAATTGCGTGTGGAAATTATGTCCAGTTGGTTGCCAGATTTGTGAGTGCTTTTGGTGGTAAGGCGTTTGAAGTCAAATGAAGCTAGGAGTGAATGGAAATCTGCAGCATAAGGCTTGTCCAAATGAATATTGAAGTCACCGAAGACTATAAGTGGACTGCCATCCTCGGGGAATGAGGACAGCAGCCCATCTAGCTCCTCTAGGAAGGTGCCCACTTGCCCAGGAGGATGATAAATGACTACAATATGGAGTTTTACCGGAGCTGTTACAGTAATAGCATGAGATTCAAATGAGTTATTATTGCATAGAGGAGCGTGGGTTGAGTATTTCCAATTGTTAGAAATGAGAAGACCAGTACCTCCACCCCTCCTAACCTGACAGGGGGTGTGAGAGAAAGAGAAGTTGTTAGAGAGAGCAGCAGGGGTTGCTGAATCTTCTGGATTAATCCAGGTCTCAGTCAAGCCCAAGATGCTAAGTGCAGTTTGGGAAGCAATAGAGGGAATAAGATCTGCTTTGTTGACAGCAGACTGTCAATTCCAGAGACCCACAGAGAAAGAGAGATATATAGAAGAAGAAATGCAGATAGAACGCAGGTGAGCAAGATTGCGTTGCCGTCTGCATTTGATGTAAGAGCGTTGCTGCGAGACAACCGGAATGTATTGGAAACACGATAGAGGTGGAAAAAAGAGGATAGAAAGGGAAAATAGGAAATGAATACTTAAGTGCGTTGCCGGTTTCGTTACTCGGTTAAAGTCGCACAGGAAAAAGTCGCAGGTCTTTACACTCATAGGTCTTCACACAAGGAGGCTGAACACGAGGGCTGAACGCTTCCGCGCCAGTGAACTGACTCCACTTAAATACACAGCTAATCCACTTGAGTAGAAACCGCTTTCTAATTATCACAACAGCCTATAGCACGCAAATGGCTCGAAATCAAACCTAAGTGCGGTACAGTTTGCCACTTAAGCGCAAATTAACAGGTAGCAAACAGTCTTTTTGTAATTTCTAATTACAGCCAACGGCAAACAACATGCAAGATCAGCATAAGCGTTTTAAACAAAACACGAGGTAAATGAATGAATCCTCCCAACTAGCAGATATTTACTCTAATCGACAGTAACAGAAAACTTGTATTAAGCAAAACACTTACGCTCTCTTGCCGTCTCCACAGTCAATTTGCTTATCCTGAGATTGGAAACTGCTCAGCAAGTTTTAAATATTCTTAAAGTCGCTGTCCATGCCTTTCTAATTATCACAGCAAAACCTATAGCACGCAAATGGCTCGAAATCTAAACTAAGTGCGGTACAGTTTGCCACTTAAGCGCAAATTAACAGGTAGCAAACAGTCTTTTTGTAATTTCTAATTACAGCCAATGGGAAATAACATGCACAATCAGCATAAATGTTTTAAATAAACACACAGTAAATGAATGAATCCTCCCAACTAGCAGATATTTACTCTAATCGACAGTAACAGAAAACTCGTATTAAGTAAAACACTTACGCGCTCTTGCCGTCTCCACAGTCAGTTCGCTTCATATGGCCCCAATCCATAGAGTAAAAGTAACACTGAAGCAGTGTTGCAGTTAGTGAAATAAAGTCGATTCACTTTACAAGATTAGTAATGACACTTGCAGTTAACAAACAGAATCACTGAAGATAAGAGGAACAACAAGAACAGAAAAAAGAGAGAAGACGAGTAAACAACACAACTACAACTGACTCGCAGCCTTAGATGAAATCAACTGCAAATGAAATCAATGATATCTCACCAGAGCATGCATAAACAACTGCAAAAACATCACAATGTTCAATTATTATAAACCATTTTGTCTTTATTTCTTTTGTATGGTCTGTTTGAAGTCACTATTATGGTGATTTGGGCACTTTGCCCTTGACTTTGGATGAATTAATTCTACTTCAGAAATTGTTGAAATTGCATGCTATCACTGTTGTCTACAATATTTCATGCTCCTGGCTCCATGTGTTCTCAAATGAGCATTAAAAACAGCAATTTTCCATTTTGACCTTTCATTATTAAGAGCTCTTTATTAGCAATAGCACTTATCATAACCCCCCTGTTACCGAACAATCTGATTATGCTGTTATTAGCAGTATTTTTCTTTGCTTTTGATATCTCTTAATGTTTTAGTTTTGCAATGTACACAAGTTCTTTTAAACTGATTTTAAATTATTTGTGCACAGATCCTTTGAAACAGAACATACATCTTTTTAAATGTTTCACTGGTTTGAATTTTAATTTTTTTTAATTTTTTTTCACAACTTTAGATACTATTTTATCAATAATATAATCCTTACAAAAACAAATTAAAATTAAAAATTTTCAGAACCAGCTTCACCAGCTCCATTATGCTGGTCCACCATCTGGTAGGAGAAACCATGTTTCTCACAGATTAAACACTGATTTGTTTGTAAATGAGCACACAGTATTTTACATGTCTTTACAGCTTTACATATATTAAAAACCCATTAAGGTTTAGAGTATCACTCATATATATGTTATGTGCAGCGGCAGCTGAGTATGGAGTCAAAACATGGCCACATAAACTTGCAAAGGAATTGAAGTATTGCAAAAGAAAATAAAGTTTTGCAACAAAAATGAAACTACTGAGAAAACATAAATGAGCTTTTTGCTAACAAAAATAAAGAATTGCAAAATATAAATGAAACAGTGCAAAAGCAATGATTTTGCAATACATATTTTCCATGGCCATATTGACTAATTTATTTTCAACGCTGCTTTTATTTTCGTTTCAATCAAGGGTGAGCTTGCGATACCGACATATTATCACATTCCCACAAATTAATATATCGTGGCCATGACAAAACTAAACCAAAAAGACTAAAGCTTCAGTTTTTGAATCTTACAGTGACAGTCATTTCTTAATTTATGTCAGGAGTTATGTACATGAAAAAAGAAGTCAATATTGATATGAAGCTTGAGTCTTAATGATTTATAGTTTATTAAGTTAATTACATTCTTTTACATTAAAACTAGCAGTAACTCTGAACTAATGTAAACAAAGAACGCTTCTGTGTGCTGGCGTACTCCCACAGGTGAAGAGATTTTAAACAAACACTGTTAATACACATTTGGTTAACAAAAGGAAACAATACACATTTTAATTAGGGCTGGGAAAATAAATCGATGCATCGCGAATCGAGAAATGATTCAGCATCGATTCTGAGATTTTCCGAATGCATCGCAATTCTTTCTCGAGTCGATTCTGAGCTTAGTTTTGAACAGCATATGGCACTGCATGCTTTAGAAACAGCCGTACTCTGCTTGTTTTCAAATCCTTGCACACACTTGAACATAAATAATCATTCATAAAATTTGAAAAGGTTGAAGCAAATTACAAGGGTGTTCACAGTGGGCTGTGTTTACATTAATCTCGCGTCATAAAAGCATTCTGAGCCGAGGTGAAATTACATGACTCAACCGAACGCACAAGCGCTCTTCAGCACTTCTTCATGAGCATTTGAGTGTGCGGATAAAAACTAGATTAGAGTGCCATCTGCTGTTAAAATCTAAGCTCAGAATAGATTCCAGAGAGAACCGCGATGCATTCGGAAGAATTTATCGTCGCAGCCCTAATTTTAATAATTTTAAACCATTTAAACTTTAAAAAAGTTATATTAAAAATTGTCTTTGATCTTCCAAGCTGTTTAATGGCAGTCAGCGGGTGTTGCAGTTCATCAGTCCAAAAGAAGTGAAATAAAGCGCATCCATCCATAATAAAAAGTGCCTCACACGGCTCCGGGGGGTGGACAAAAGCCTCCTGTAGCGAATCGATGCGTTTTTGTGGACAAAACCCGCCTGGAGCGTATCGATGCGTTTTTGTAAGAAAAATAACCATCTCTCCCCTGCGCTTCCGCGTTCGTCACTTCTGAGCGGCGCATGCGCAACGCCGACGTCCTACGTCATCCGCCCGGAGCTGCTTCTGTGTACAACTGTTGTACGCAAGCTAGATTAAAGTGATTATTACGTTTTGAATATGGATATTTTTCTTACAAAAACGTATGGTTGAGGGTGAGTAAAAAATTGTCTAATTTTCATTTTTGGGTGAACTATCCCTTTAACTTAAACAAAGGCTGCTGATACACATATAGTTAATAAAACGAAACCATGCATGTTTTAATGCTAGTGAATAATAGGAAACGATCCACCCACATGCCTCTGCTCAATGATGGTGCCTTGATCATCTGTGATCTGAGTCTCTGGCCAATGACATAACTTCCAGGGAGGCATGCCCAGGCCTGTTGTACACGCCCCAGTCCCTTGATTCCACCCCCATGTCAAAACAATGCCAGAAAGTGAGACGCGCAGAAACGTGAAGCACAAAGGGATCAAACGGTATCGCAAGCTCACACTTGACTGAAATGAAAAAAGGCAATGTTGCAAATAAATTAGTAGATATGGCCATGCAAAAATAATTGCTTTTGCTCTGTTTCATTTTCTTTTGCAATTATTTATTTTTGTTTGTAAAAATCTTATTTATGTTTTCTCAATACTTTCAATTTTTTTGCAAAACTTTATTTTCTTTTGCAATACTTTATTTCTTTTGCAAGTATATGTGGCCCTGTTTTGATTGCAAAAGCACATCTCTGCAAAACTAGCATGCAATAGTAACATTACTGTGAAAGTAATCCTAGAACTGCATTACAGCAATATTTACAAACAGCAGCAGTATGCAAAAGACAAGACTATAAGCATCAAACTGCGTGCTTAATGCATCATGACAGACTTACATTCCAGAGTGAAGTGCGGCTTTAATGGGACACTATAGGCCTTCAGTCCACAGATTGACAGAGACTGTTTGTGTTGCAGACTGTGTTGTTTGAATATGGTATTTTATACTTTATTAGGAAAAATGTATAATTTGTGGAAAGATGAGTGACCTTTGTGCTGTTTGTTTGTGTGGATCAGTATTGCATCTGGACAGATGGGCTGTCTGCGCTCTTGGGGAAGGAGTTGGGAAGCGATCTCACACGAAGTGACCTTGACACATTAATGAGCATGGAAATGAAGCTCCGCCTCCTCGATCTGGAGAATATCACCATCCCTGAGGCTCCGCCCCCTGTGCCCAAAGAGCCCAGCACTTACAACTTCACCTACAACTATGGATGAGATGTCTGTCCGTTCAACCAGAGCTTGTGTTTTCTGTGTCTTTCACTCTTCAGAGGTGAAGTGTGTCATTTGTCTGTCACTAAGATTCTTTCCTGCCGGTTTCAAGTTCAGAGTCGCATTGTTTAGTTTGACTTGCTGAAGAGTGAAACCCTGTGATGCTTGTTTGAGCCTCCCAACACGACAACTTCTGACGTGACCAGTAGAGTTCAAGATGGACGAAAGAGTAGAAATGACACATTTCACCTCTATACTAGTGTATGTGCCTGAACATGAACTAGTCTTGGTTACGAGAGTATTTTTTCAGTCCTTTTTCAAATGTTTGTAAGTCAGAAAAACAAATGGTTCTTCTGTATTCAAGTATTTGATTTTAAATGAGAAAAGCAGAAACAGCATCTTAAACATCATTCTGTGTTTAGATATTGTAAAGCATCTACTCCCATGTGTGATGTGATGTTAATTGCTTAAATGAGTAACTCAACTGAACAGTTAGTAACTTTGTACACCCCACAGATCTGTCTGCAGATAACTAATATTTACTGACGTTTGCTTTTGTCAATAGAAATATATTTTTGTACTTGATGTGAAAGACACTATATGGTCTGCATGAAACGGTGGAAAGCAAGCGAGTGCAAGAATATGGAAACTTTTTGTGACTCGTAGACTGAACAGGATGAAGGCCTGCGACTGCAATATTCAAAAATCCATTCAAAAGTCTTGCAGAAACTATATGTGACAATAGCCATACGAGTTCATAGATTTAGACATTTATTTGGTGATTTCTTTGTTACAGTACTCAAACATGACTGCTCAGTCCGTTTAGCTGGAAATATTTACACGTTTATCTTCTGTCTGTGCGTTCATATTTGCTTGCCATAATGTAAGGTTATTCTGTGTGAAAACAGGACGAACGCATAGATGGATTGCTGACAGAGGTGTGATGTTTATCAGATTTGCTTCATGCTACAGCTGGTAGTTTCTGAATGTTGTAGTGGGCAGGTATCAGTTTTTGGGTTGAAATGTTGTACACACTATAAATATATAGTGCCTTCAGAAGGTATCGATTCCCTTTTTATTTCTCATTGCTAAAAAGGTAATTTTAATTAAGTTTTTATTTTTTATGTTTGGGGGGGTTGATTTGATTTTATTGAAGGAAGAAAAAATATTTCATCTTTAAAATTTGAAGGCCACTGTATATAAACTGTATATATTGTACTGCTTTATCACAGTAATGCAATGGATTTGTGTGCAATAATAAAATGTGTTGAAGTCATAGCTTGATATTTTTCATCCATTTGATTAATAATTTTAGCTGTGCCGCACACCCATATTAAATGCAGTTGCATACAAACTATGTATGGAGTTGTAAAAAAAAAAAAAACACTCAAAAGCAATTAATGTATAAATGTTGACTTGAAATAAAAATGAAGATTAATATGTGGTGCACAATTACTGCTAACCAGTGATGGCTTAGCTAATGAAGCCATATAATGGACACTTTGGGCAGATGAACTGTCATTGGTTTGTGATAAAGGTTATGAATAAGTCAAATGACTTCCATTTCGTCTGTTATCCAAAACCAGTTTACAAGAACTTTTGTCTGGTACCCAAAACTGCATTAACTAAAGTCCATTACCATCCTGAGACAACATAAAACCATGAAATTGCTATATTCCCTCTTATAGCACGCATAGAAAGAGCAAGAGAAAAAATAAGTAAAATAAAATGCACAAATTATTAAATTAAATGAAACCTTTATTAATTATATTTCAAAAGTAAGCATAAGGTAGCACTCTTGTCAACATATATAATTAATATTTAGCTGAAATGTTGCAAAACAGAACAATTAAACTATCAAATAGTTTTTTAGTTAATAGATATCTATCCTGCCATTTGTTGTTAAATACCAGTGGTGATGTTTTACACATGACCAGTCTGTTGCCGGAAATGGAGTCACCAGCATGTAGTGAGGTAGAGTCCTTGCTGTCTTTACCAGTGCCCGAATTTGTGTACATGATATACTGATTCATGAGCTAGGCAGCTGATTGAGAAACACCTAGAGAGCAGGTCACAGAGTGCTGAAATGAATGGTATGTAAAAGTCACCAATGCTCTGCTGATTCTAAAGCTGAAGAGTTCCAAACTTCCACTGGCATTAATATCAGCACAAAAATTGTGCGGCAGGAGCTTCATGGAATGGGTTTCCATGGCCGAGCAGCTACATGCAAGCCTTACATCATCAAGTACAATTCCATGCGTGGGACAGAGTGTGTAAAGCACACAGACACTGGACTCTGGAGCAGTGGAAACCTGCTCTATGGCGTGACCAATCACACAGTCTGATGGGTGAGTCTGGGATTGGCAGATGCCAGGAGAACGTTACCTGCTGGACTACATTGAGACAACTATTTGGTGAAGTTTGTTGGAGGAGGCATATGGTATAGTGTTGTTTTGAGGGGTTTGACTTATTTCCAGAGAAGTGGAATCTTAATGCTTCAGCATACCAAGACATTTTGGACACTGCTGTGCTTCCAAATTTGTGGGAGCAGTTTGGGGAAGGCCCTTTTCTATTCCAGCATGACTGTGTTCCAGTGCACAAATCAAGGTCCATAAAGACATGGTTGGATGAGTTTGGTGTGGAAGAACTAGACTGGCCGCACAGATCCCAGACCTCAACCCCATCCAACACCTTTGGGATGAACTGGAACGGAGATCCCGAACCAGACCTTCTTATGCAACATAAGTGTCTGACCTCACAAATGCTCTACTGGATGAATGTGCAAAAACTGCAACAGAAACACTCCGAAATCTCATGTAAAGTATTCCCAGAAGAGTGGAAGTTGTTAAAGCTGCAAAGCAGAACTAACTCCATATTGTATTTAGAATACAATGTCATTAAAGTCCCTTTTTGTGTAATGGTCAGGTGTCCCAGTACTTTTATCCATAGTTCACAGATCTATATTCTTGACTTTTATGTCATGTGTATAGTTCTTTAGTAGATTTGTATTTAACTAGTATTTATGATTACATATGTGTGCAAATGCCATAGAGACACATAAAACTGCTCCTTTGGTTTGGGTGTAACAGCACTGCTGGACCTCAAGGAAACACATAAAATCAGAAGCAAGCAAGTCTACTAGCCAGGGTGTGACAGGCTGTCATGTATTCCCTGTGTTTGTGGACTTTAAAGTGATTCCGTGTCTTGTACCATGTTGTGTGGTGCTTTGTAGTTTTCCCTGTTGATTAGGTCCCCAGCTGTTTTCCATTTTTCCATGACCTCTTGTTATCCTGTTAATCTTGTTTACCTTGTGTATAAATAGTGCTTGTGTTGTGTTTGTCAGCTGTTGTATGAGTTGTTATGTTCCTTGTGTTTCCCTGGTTGTTTATTAAAGTTCACCTGCACTTAGATCTGCTCCTTTCTGCCTCCTCATTGTCACCCGGGTGACATAGGCTGGTTATTCTGGTTATGCATTTTTCTTATTTTGCTAATTATCTGCCAATGGGGTAAGAAATTACAAATATTCTTGTTTCCGTTTGCATTAAGATTATTTTTCTTACCCGATGGTGGACAATTTTACATGTTTTACATCAAATGAACTTACAACGCACTTAAATGCACTTGTTTCGCCCAGCAAACAAGACTAAATATTTTATATAATTTTTAATCATTAGATAATGCATCTTAACTTAAGGATTTTTTTAGATATTTGTACTTGAAATAAAACAAAAACACTCAGTAAGAAAAGCATTTTTGCACCGTGCATGAATGAATGAAGTATTTAAACATCACTTATGCTTTAAAAAGGGGGAGGAGACTGTAACGGGAAGTCAGACTCGATACACAGGTTGGTTAGAATCAAACAGGCAGATTTATTGAACAGTATGCGGGGGACCAAGGAACTGGTGAGTATTGTAGAATAAAAGTCTTATGCTGGAAAGCTAGATGCAGGTAAGTAGACGGAACACACACAGGAACACACGAGGAGGACGAATGAGATCAAGGAGTCTTGGAACAACAGGTAAGTCATGCGACATTGTTTTGAGTCCTTTTCCACTTGGGAGACCAGACGATGTGGCTGTGTGAACTGTGTGTTCTTATAGTGCTGTGCTGGTGATTAGTGAATGACAGTCAGGTGTGCGTGATCAGTATTCCGGTGATTGTGAACGCTGATAGGTGAAAGAGCCTGGCGTGTCCTTGACAGAACCCCCCTCTCCACAGCCCACTCCTGAGGGCCGCAGATCCCGACGTCATGGTGGGCGACCCCTACTGCGTGGAGCTGGATCGTGAGGATGGGAGGCGTGGAATTCTGCCAACAGATTGGGGTCGAGGATGTCATCTCTTGGAACCCATGATCTTTCCTCTGTGCCATACCCTTCCCAGTCAACAAGGTATTCCAATCTGCCACCACGATGTCGGGAACTCAGGATCTCCCTTACTGAGTATGCTGTTCCAGCTTCCAGCACCATCGGGAGAGGGGGTTCGTCTACAGGGCCAGGCTCTGGGGAAACAGGGAGAACAGGTGAGTGACAGGGTTTGAGCAATGAAACATGGAATGTGGGGTGAATACTGTATTGTGCTGGACGTTTGAGTTCATACGTAACTGGGTTGATTTGCCGGACGACGGGGAAGGGACCAATATACCTGGGACTCAGCTTCTTACAGGGGAGGCGCAACCGGATGTCCCGAGTGGAAAGCCATACTTCTTGCCCTGGATGGAAGGTGGGAGCAGGGGCTCTCCGGACATCGGCATGGTGTTGAAGGCATCTTACTGCCCGCTGTAGATGTTGGTGTGCTGAGTCCCAGACCCTCTCACTCTCCTGGAACCAATGGGTGATGGCTGGAACATCTGAGGGTTCTCCTGACCAGGGGAATAGAGGGGGCTGATAGCCGAGCACGCACTGGAATGGAGTGAGATCCGTGGAGGGTTGCCGGAGGGAATTCTGTGCGTACTCGGCCCAGGCAAGGAATCGGTTCAAGGAGTTCTGGTGGCCATGGCAGAAGGTACAGAGGTATCGACCTATCTCCTGGATCTTTCGTTCCATTTGTCAGTTGCTTTGTGGGTGATATCCAGAAGATATGCTGACGGTCACACCTAGGAGTGAACAGAAAGCTCTCCATACACGTGAGATAAACTGTGGACCTCTGTCAGATACTATCTCTTCAGGAATGCCAAAATTACGGAAGACATGGTTAAACAGTACCTCAGCAGTTTCCATTGCTGTTGGGAGTCCTTTCAGAGGAAACAGATGGCAGGTTTTTGAAAATCTGTCCACAGCAACCAGGATGTAGGTGTTGTGGTCGGATGCAAGGAGGTCTGTAATGAAATCTACTCCCAGGTGTGACCATGGACGCCGGGGAACATGGAGAGGCAGGAGTTTACCGGTAGGCAAGTGGCGAGGTGTTTTAGTCATGGCACATTCCCGGCATCCTCTCACGTACCTTTTGATGTCATCCGCCATTCCAGGCCACCAGAAGTGATCTTTCAACAGTGAGAGGGTTTGATTGGTCCCAGGATGACCAGTGCCCAGGGAGGTGTGTGCTGAATGAATGAGTGGTGTTCGTTGACTGTGGGGAACGTAGATGTGATTTGGGGGACACCCCGACGGAGCGGGATCAGAGACACTGGCTGTTGCGATGTCGTCATCTAGGGTCCATTGGATCAGGCTAACAATGAGGTCAGTGAAGATAATGGTCTCTGAGTTGGTCGTCTGGAGCATGAAGTCTTGACAGAGCATCAGCTTTGGTATTTTTCGTCCCGGGACGATAGGAGATGGTGAAATTAAACCAGGTAAAGAACAAAGCCCACCTGGCTTGTCTGGGGTTTAATCTCTTTGCCTCGCAGAGATATTCAAGATTCCGGTGATCAGTGTAGACCACAAAGGGGTGACGAGCTCCTTCAAGCCAGTCCATTCCTCCAGGGCGAGCTTGATGGCGAGTAGTTCTCTATTCGTGATGTCATAGTTCTGCTCTGCCGAGGTTAATTTCCGGGAGAAGAAGGCACATGGATGGAGTCAAGGTGGGTTCCCCTGCTGCTCTGACAAAACGGCTCCTGCTCCTGATGTTGAGGCCTCGACTTCAACGACGAATGGTCTTTGTGGATCGGGATGCACCAGGAGTGGAGCCGTGG